TGCAATTTTAATAACCGAAAAAAAAAACAGGGCAGAAAAGATCTCATACGATATAACTAAAGGCCGGATCCGAAGGGTACATAACGATATTTTCTCAGATATTGCACCGAACTTTTGCCATCAAACTCTGGGAAATCGTTTATCCATCATTCTACAGTACTTTTCCACGACAATATTCCCAATGTACCCCTCGGATCCGGTTTGCATTGGTCATCGATGAATGAGTAACAGATTCGCATTAAGGAAGCCAAATATTTTATCATACTGAGGTAATTATATGCAATAACTTAAAATTATTTATAGATTTTAAATATAGTCTAATGAATGATATTTTGGTAAAATGAATAATAAAGTAAAATAGGAGATAATAGTTATATATGTACCAGGGGCATAAAGATGCGTGTATGGTCCGCGGCGTGAAAATGAACACGATAAGGGCCATAAACGCTGTTGTGTCAAAGATACATACAAAATTTTATGTACGACCAGTCTTTACTAATACATAAAAATATGTCGGTTATCTTTTAAATTCTCCATAAGAACTGTCAATTTGTTAAATTTTGACATTCCATAAAAATGACAATCATATTGTCACACTGAGAGGAAGGAATTTGATTTTGAATTTATATTAAAAATAAATGCAATTTATAATTTATAATTTTATGGCAAGAATCGTTTTATAATCCTTTTATCGAAGTGTTTTGTGTTTTTTAATTAAACTGGCAATGGAAGAGGACGAAAATTGTATTTTCGTGTATCCCACTAGAAATTACCGAAGTAGCAGAGGCTGCGACGTTCGATAGGTTACCTCAAAAGTCGAAAATGTTGGATGAAAAATAAAGCAAAAGCCGTAGGCGGGCTTTAAAGTATTTTACGGCTCGGCGGGCTGTAAATTCTTTTTACGGCCTGGCGGGCTGTAAATTAGTTTACGACCCGACGGGCTATAAATGCAATTTTGAAGCCCTCAAACCAAGTATATAAAGGGACCAATTAAAATCGGTTATGCATAAAAGAAACTAAACTATTATCTTATTAAAATTAAAGAAATGTTAAAAATGTTTCTATTTCTATATAAAAAGTTTGATTATTGCATGCCGAAAGGAGTTTATACTCAGAAACCATATATGCACCATTAACCTTTTTTGGGCTAAAATATAAAGCCCCGACTCGCACTTGCCCGGTTTTTTTTGCTTTAGATCTTCGAAAAACCATCCAGCGTGTTAATACGAATTTTGTTGATCTACGATCTGCCAAGAGCAAGACCCCAAAAGACTAGTAACTATTGAAGTGGTTGGTTTAAGAAAGACCTTTAAAGGAAAATTTGGAATTTACATTCTAAAAACGTTCATTTTGAGTTAAACAATAATTTGGATTACATTGTACAAAACTGGGTTATAAATATAAACTTGTAAACCAGCGAAAAATTGTATGCGACAAAAAAAATGCTTTAACGGCCAAACTGTTTTTGAGAAATTACCTTCAGTATCTAAATTCTGGGGAAGAATAAATTTTATATTCTTGGGCTAGACTTGGTTATATCAGAACGGTTCGCCTGTATGCAAATGGTGTAATGACACTGATTGTAAAAGTAACCCTTTGAAAATTAAGGGGGTGGGAGGCAACTTAGTATTTTACATGCAGGATGTGCTATGTGACTTTTGGATGGTTCTGATTTACTTTTGGATTCTGGCAACACAGACAAAGATTATGACAAAGCAATGGCTGGTAAGATATTTCGAAAGTGAGTAGACAATCAATTAGTTCCTGCTTTCTCCAAATTAGATGGAAAATGTGTGGTGGCAAACATGAATTTACGGGGGGAAGAGTATTGGGGTACTTACCCACCCCCCAAGTTTCGGCTAGCTTCAACTTTTGCTTTAAAATGTTAAATATTTTTTAAAATAAAATACGCAGCAATTATCATGTTAATACCTTTAAAGAATATATTTTACGTTCTTTGTAGTTGTTTTGTTGTTTTTATATAAAATTTTAAATATTTTATTTCTTTTGTATTTTTGAACACATATTTTATTTTATTTACAAGCATTTGTTATATTACCCCCCCCCAGTCAAGGCTTGATCCGCTCTTATGGATAACGCACCATATCAATCAATTTTTTATAGCAACAACAAATTTCTTTGTATATATGCAACCAATGCCGGATTAAGGATGATTGGGGCCGGGCGCAAATTTTTCTATGGGGCCCTTATTTTAGATGAAATAATTATTGTTGTTTATAGTAATTTTTAATCAATAATATGGATACATTAGAAATATAATAAAGCGAACTAAAGATATTTAATTTAAATGAACTAAAAACTGAATACTAGATTTAAAAAGGTTTTTTCCTTGCTTTATTTGCAGCAAAATCTTTTATAAGCTCTTCAAAGCTCATATTTCGTAATATGTATCTTCCAATAGTCATTAAACTTAACGCATTCAACCTTTCGTCAGTCATACTGGATCGAAGATCATTTTTTACCCTTGCCAACTTGTAAAATGCTTTTTCAGCGCTACAATTACTTATTGGTAAGGTGAGGTAAATTCTATATGCGACATATACATTTGGCAAAAGAGATTCCAACTTATTTCCTTTTATTGTTTCTAATGCCTCCTAAAGGGGAAGGTGTTTCAATGCCATCAATAAATTCTTTGAACTGTATCATTTCTTTCCCAAAATTTTCATCTAAATCTAATAGGCATTAAGAAGATTTCCTGCTGCAGCAGCAATTTCGTCCGAGTTCAGTGATTTAAACTTTAATAAAAATTCGAATTTTTCTTCTACGGCTGTATAAGCAGATAGCCTATCTTCGAGGCAAATGCGAAGTTTATCAATTATCGGTAAGAATTTATTATTTAAATTTTCTTCCAAAAATAAAAAAACGATTTTTTTTTCGGGATTTTGTTATACTTTTCCCATTCCTGTCAGAAAAACTATACATTGCCACGGGGCAGGGGCGCGGGGCCCTCGAGTCTTGGGGGCCGGGCGCAGTTGCGCCATTGCGCCCTGGCAATCCGGCATTGTATGCAACTAAATTTTTGTTTGTATAAAGAGAATTTAAGTCTTGATATATCCTATTTGATTTAAATTAGTTCAATTACATTAACAGAATATGTTTAAAATTTATTAAATTGTTATTTGTCCGAAATTGCTTAAATATTTGAAAGAACAACATATTTTCTCATACAGATTAAAATTTCCGTTGTATTGAATTTTCTTGTGCGGACATTCAGTACAATGTTTTATTAGATTTAAGATATTTCTTTTGAATCAACGAAATAGTTTTATTGCATATAAGAAATTTATTTTTATTAAATAGCAGAATGTAGGAAGGAAAAAATAAATTTGGGACAAAATATTTCTTTCTTGGGGTAAGATTTTTGTTTTTTTTTAATATTGTCATTTCATGACAACTAAATGAAGTGTCAATGAAGAAGACATGCAATTAAATGAAATATATAATGTTTCATAATATAAATTGTTACTTAAGGGGCCTAGTCGGGAAAAAAACTTCGGATAGCTGTGTCACTCTCTAGAAAGTTTTTATACATGCGCCGTTGAATAATTTTGCTCTTGACTATACCTGGATGTTTTATTCACCGACTTCATTGAGGTGCGATTCCCGATAGAGGTAACACTTCCTTGCTCCATTTGTAGTGACAAAGATATTTATTTAGAAATTTCTTTTTAACCAAATAGTACGGAATAAAAGTTTGAAACTTGCTGAGCATAATTATGAAGATTCATTCTAGACGACATGTATGAATTTTACCTCGAATTTTACCGATTGATATCATAATTCAGGAGCTAATCACGTCCAAATTTCACTTATATTTACAATATAAATTTTCCCTACATAAAGTGAAAATTAATTAAAATAGATATACATGTACCCTCCATTACACTTTCAACTACTGATCCTCCAAATTTGGTGTAATTTGACCAAACCGTATGGAAGAAATAAATTTTGAAAAATTACCTTACAAACACTTGTTAGATTAGCCCTCTTAAACTTAAAATAAGATTTGTAGAACACGTTTAATTTGAAAGCAATTTATTAAGAAAATTTTCGTTTTGTGTAGACAAAACTGTCGCAGTCAAACTGAATAAACGTATTTGAGTGGAAAGAGATTATATTTCGACCAAACAAATTTACACAAGAGAAATAATTCTCTTGAATCACACAAACATTTTTAAGTGTGCAAACCACTAAGTTTTTCGTCTAATTAAAAAACAATGCAGAAGTTTCTGACAAAACACAATTTATCTTTCGATGATGGACTTAAAAAAGTGTGAAGCAATTAAACCATTTAGGCTTGCAGAGGGCAAAAATTATGTGATAAACAAAATTTTAGGCAGACATGGCCATGCAGATTTTAGTCTGCCCCTCTACCATTATCAATATAATCTTTTTGAAATTGCCTGGAAAGTGACTAAGATCTATTATTATAACAAGCACATAAATAAGGAGCACCCGTCGAAAGATAAAGCTTCAAATTTATGGAGGATGGCTTTGTTTACTTTTACGTCAGACATGTGGAGTAACTCAATTGTGAAAATTTAATACGCGAGGACTGCAAAAATGTATGCAGGATGCAGGTGGAACATTCCACCCATCATCGTTTCTTTAGAAGAATCTGATTCTGGTTCTGATAGTTCAGATATATTATGGCTTTCTAAATGTTTAGCTTCGATTAATGTTATTCCTTTTTTTGGTGTAAAAATTATTACGGGTTTCTAGATATTCTCCAATAGATATGGTGTTGGTATAGCTTAGACAACATGTTGCAGAGAAGGGCCCCAAGATTGGGACAGCAATGCCTGGTCAGCTTTTTGATGATAGATCGGCAATTAAACACCACAGGTAATACAACCCCCTGTATCTCTGAAGGTACTTCATGGTACTTTGTGTGGGAGAGGACTACACATTTAGAGACAATGGACGCACACTCAATGTCCGAGTATGCCAGGATTAATTTCTGGTTTAGAAAAAATCCTAGCTCCTCGACCGGGGATCGAACCCCGGCCTCCTGGGTGAGTAGCAAGTGTCCTTACCATTCGACCACGAAGCATGGAACAGAAAATTATTAGCTTGCAGTACAAACCTAAAATCCTAAATCCTAAATCCAAAACTGGAGGATAAAATTAGGTTGGTTTTTAATTTATTTTTCCAATTTGGAAAAAGATAAATAAATGAATATTGGTAGGGATTTTCTACTAGTAGAAACACTTCTAAAGAATATTTCTTCAATCATCCCTTATTGGTAAAATGGTTGAAATCAGCAACCTCCATTTTGTTTTTTTATTCGAACTTTTTAATGGACCCGAATGTGTTTTGCTACATATTTAGAAACAACGGACATACACCCAATATACGAATATGGTAGAATTAATTTCTGCTTAGAAAAAATCCCAGCTTCTCGACCAAAGATCGAACTCGGGACTCCAGGGTGAGAGGCAAGTGTCCTTACCGCTCGACCACGAAGCCACAGATATACATACCTCCATTGGAAACTTTTCTCTTATTTTGAGATCCCAATTGAAAATTTAAAGTTTGTCTAGTTAATCTAGCACAAATTGTGGCTCAAACGTTAAATTTTTATTGATGTTGGGTGTAGAGTTGTTCAACCCTATCCAATTTTTTTTTGTATAGATCAATATTAAATTTATAAGTCCACAAAACTATTAAAAAAAGATTAGTCGCCAGAAAACAAAAACAATTGAAGTGATTCTCTTATTGTCCTACATCATTTCACCACAAAAAAGAACATTTTTATAAGAATGTCCAAGGTGAGAGACGCACACGCGTCAATCTAATCGAGGGCTTCGATGATGATTGTGGATTATTTATACATATACAAAGCATAGTGAGACAAATGAAGCGCTTGGCTATTGCGAAAGCCAAAGCATACGCTCTGTAAAAAAGAAAATGGGGGAGTACTAGGTACATTTGTGCGTATTCTGACGTTTTTTGAATTGTTTGTCACTGTTATTTCAAAATGAGGTCAAGGTCGTTTTTGCTTTCTCGCTCCTTAAGCACCAAAAAAATTCTATAGTATTCCTGGACGAATCTTGATTCATTGTCGATGAAGAATTATGAGTAGACACCGGAAAATTTCGGTGAATCCCAGGCCGGTTTTCCAACTCGCCTGTCTGAGCTCCCATAGGAAAGGACAGTGCATGCACAGCGAGATTCCGACCATGTTTATTCACCTGTCACCATTCAATTTACCTACAAACGTCAAAGTGTATCCGGTGCGAGGATAAAAGTAAATAGTAACAACTATGTCGGCAATATCATGGAGGACGCGAAAAAACATTAAATTTGGTGAATGTGGTACCACTAGAAGAGACATAATGAATGAAAGAAGAAAAAAGGTACGATTTCGGGATAAAAATTAAAAAAAATTTTATTGCATTTCTGGACGAATATCGACGAATTATAATGAAAAAACATAACTTTATGAAAAAAAAATCTATCGTGATAGCAGCCACAGTTTTTGAGACAAAGCTTTCAAATTTGGTGCACTTGTTGTAAAGGCCAAAGACAATGAAAAATTCGGTGTTGAGCAAAATGGGCTAGCTAAAAGGGGGCCCACGAAACCCAAAATTTTTTGTATTTGGCTTTACAAAAAAATATATTCTTGATGAAAGATTAAATCATGCTATATCAAGCGAATAAAATATATGTTCCAAGTACTTAAATCAAGCTTGAAATGTCTTACACATTTGGTCTCATAAAATGGGGTTAGGATAAATTTAACAGTTTGACGTCTAATTTAGTTACAAAAATGTCAATGTCAATAACACAAAATTATTAAAATATATGACATGAATTATTATTGACAGTATCGAATGACGCTGATAGTTAATTATTTAAAAATTTTAATGAAACACACAAGGTACGCTACTAAAATTTAATTGAGGTAAGTGAAGAATTAAATGGAATGATTTTTTTAGATTAGGATGATATATACTGGTATAAGAAAGTTATGTGCTGGCCACATCAGATATTTTAATAACTTGCGATGTAAGATGTAAAATTATCACTTTCTTGTTCTATCTTGTATTCTCATTATCCTATTCTTTAATTAATCCAATTAACTCTGAGTGCAGAGTCCAAGAGATGACCTTTTTCCCGAATACTTTATTTTATTTAGTTTTTCTAAATAATATGAACAATACACTAGGTGTTTTCATTTATATTAATTGCATATTTCAATATACATTTACCGCAATTTCTCTTTTCCTATATATACGACCGTTAGTTCTTTTGGAGTAATATGTAAATAGTATATGGTAAACGTATTTTTTTAAGATTTAATATACCCACTTCAATTACAATTTTCAACTGCAACACTAATTGGTGTTAAAGTGATGACGCTGTCATCATTTATTAATTTACTTAGTTACAAGCCACGGGCAGTAGTACATACAAGTTAATTCGTTTAATGAGAGATGGACTGCATGAGTGATCTCACTGTCCTCCCACTACGAAACGTGTCAAGAATTGCATTCCACAACGCTGCTGTGAGTCATAGCTAATTTTGCTACAAATCAATTGTATAATTACGTTAGCCTTCAAATAAACTTAATAAAGGTGCCTTATTTTGAAAAAATATATATAAAATTGTAAAAATAAACTGGCGAAAAATGTTTAATTTCATAAAGTTTTTTAATACAAATATTTATTAAAAGAACCATAACAACATAATTTGCAATATTAACTTGAACAACATACATACATATACAGGGTGAGCCACGGTGGGTGGAGTATTAGAAGTATATGGAGAATGGATTAAGCGATTGCTTTCAAATTTTGGTTACCAAGATAATCGAGTATGATCTCTCCAACTAAAATATTTTCGAAAGTGCGGTGTTGCCACTTATACGTAAAACTGGCAACATCTTCGTTATTTTAAATGGAATACCCTGTATATTTTTGCGTTTTTTGGATCGTCGTCTCTTTCTGAGTAACTTTTATTAATATTTCCCTATACCTATCTCAAGCCTTTTTCGAGATAATAATTCTTTTCTGAATTTATTGCCAAAAATTTGACTTTCAGTAAATCGTGTTTTCTCCTACATACGCAGCAATTAAAAGATAATTTTTTAGTTGCGACTAGGCAAGGCCTGGGGGCATCTCCTTCATTAATCAAATGTTTCGAATATCATACAGGGTGAGTTAGAGAACGCTTTCTACAAGTGACTTAGAAAAATGCACGAAAGTCAATTTTTTTAAATGGAATGCCCCGTATTTTATTACTGATTCGGAAAGGCGATACATTTACCTCTTTAGAAAGGTAATATACTCTATACCTAATGCACACCGTTTTCGATTTATAGGCATTTATCTGTAACCTTAACAAGAATATTAGTCTTCTGGTATATCATAACGGGTGGGCCATGAAATTTTTGTTTTCTCATTTTGTAATGACAACAGATGTTATTTTTCTAAATAAATTTGACGTTAGTGATATTTGCATCTAATTTGAATAGCTATGTAGCACAAATATGGCAGAAAATAATTATACAAACACGGTTTTAATTGATTTGTTTATTATCCATGGACAGTGCAATAAGATTATCAGCAGAACTTGTAGAAGATTTAATGAGAAATATCCGAATTTGCCGCAGATCAGAGGAATTTTGTAAATTTTGGTTCATCATTAAGAGAACAATAACAGTGTCAGTATTAGGAAAAAATAATAACTAAGCAGCAACAACAGTAACAAAGTAGCAATAACAAGTAATACCAATAACAGTAATAAATATAAAAATCTTAAAAATATTGTTATAATTGTTCGAAATGTAGACCGTTAACTTCCAGACACTTTTGTATACGACGATGGACGACTTTTGTTGTAGCAGCTCTCATTTCAGCGGGTTCCAAGTTTTCAATCTCTTGAATCACTCGACGTTCTAATTCTTCCCTGTTGTGGACTGGAGTTTTATAAACTCTATCTTTAAGAGTACCCCAAAGATAAAAATCTAACGGGATAAGGTCAGGGGACCTCGGAGGCCAATTCCATGGTCCCAAACGTCTAATCCAACGATCATCGAAAAAGCGGTCCAACTCCATACTAATTTCGTGTGTACAATGTGCAGGAGCCCCGTCGAGTTGATACCAATTGACATAATATCAAGGAAGTCTTCCACAATTGTTCTAATTATATCTAAATATTTTCTGGAATTCAATTTTTCGTCGAATATGTAATATTTTATTTTGTCATCCATTAACATACAAAACACATTGAAACTAAATTTGACTTGAAAGCCAGCCTCTCTAGTAACGTAGGATTGTCTGTGGCCCAATGGTGACGATTTCGTGTGTTACAAATCCCTTCCCTAGAAAATTTTGATTCATCAGTCCATATAATTTTTTTAAAAAAATTGGAGTCCTCTTGCATACGTACAAGTAACATTTCATAAAATTCTATTCTCTGTAGATAATCCTGAGGCATGAGAAATTGGACTCTTGTAAATTTGTAATTATGCATTTTATGGTTTGCTAGTATTATTCGAATGGATGAATATGGCAATGCTAAATCCCGCACAGCACAACGTATGGAATACTGGGGATTTGCATGAAAATATGCTAGCACATTGATTTCATTTACCTCGTCAGATGTCACAGGTATAGGTAAATTTCTTGCTTCTCTTAATGACGAACCAAAATTTATAAAATTCCTCTGAATTCGTAAAAACTTTCTGTTGTTCATCTGCGGCAAATTCGGATATTTCTCATTAAATCTTCTGCTGAAGTTCTGCTGATAATCTTATTGCACTCTCCATGGATAATAAACAAATCAATTAAAACCGTGTTTGTATAATTATTTTCTGCCATATTTGTGCTACATAGCTATTCAAATTAGGTGCAAATATCACTAACGTCAAATTTATTTAGTAAAATAACATCTGCTGTCATTACAAAATGACAAAACAAAAATTTCATGGCCCACCCGTTATGATATACCAAAAGGCTAATATCCTTGGTAAGGTTACAGAAAAGTGCCCATAAATCGAAAACGGTGTGCATTAGGTATAGAGTATATTACCTTTTTAAATAGG